GACAGTGGGTTAGATTCCCAGCATGGAGGAGAGGGGGTTAAAATTATATCTCATAAAGACATTAATCAAAGGAAAGCAGGAATGGCTACATTAATGTCTGATAAAGTAAACGTCAGAGCAAAGAAAATTACCAGAGACAGATGGAGAAACCATACAATGATAAAAGCATCACAATCACTCCGTCGAGAACACAACAATCCCAAACATATATGTACCAAACAAAAGACCTTGCAAAATACATGAAGCAAACACTGATAAAACTCCAAGGGGAAATAAAGAAATCCAGAATGACAGTGGAATTCTTGAACTCATTCTTAACAACTGACAGAACAAGGAAACAGAACATCAGTAAAGACAGAAGAAATCACAAGACCATTAACATGATGTAATCAGCATTTCAGAACATTCCACCCAACAGCAGTGGAATATGTTGTCTTTTCAAGAGCCAGAGAGTACTTCATTTCACAACTAGCACCATACCCAGGGCCATAAAACAAACTGTAGAAAACTTTATAAATAGTTGAAATTGTGTACTCTGAACACAATGAAATCAAGCTAGAAATCAATAACAGAAAGAAAACAGCAACTTTTCTCAATAATTAAAAACTAAACACAGTTCTAAATAACCTATGGATCAATGAAGAAATATTAAAGAAAACCAAAATATCAAAAATCTGTGGGACACAGCTAAATCAATGCTAAGAGGGAAATTTACACCACTAAATGTTTATACTAAACAAGATTCAGCCAGGTGTAGCAATCCCAACCACTTCCAAGGAAGGCATAGGCAAGAGGATGAAGGTCTGAGGCTGGCCCCAGGCAAAAATACAAGACCCTACCTGAAAAATAACTGAAGCAAAAAAGGGCCAGGTACATTACTCAAGTGGTAGAGTGCCTCTCTAGCAGGTACAAGGCTCTGAGTTCAAACCCCAGTACACCCCTCTCCAAAAAATGAATACTACGAACAATTCTACACACAAAAACTTGGCAATTGATCTATATAAAATAGATCAATTTCTCAAAAGCCACAAATTTATCACAACTCACCCAGTAAGCATTTGGAATTGAACTGATAAATTTAAAACATCCAAAACTGAAATCTCTAGGTACAGATAGTTTCGCTAATAAATTCCACCAAACATTTAAAAAATTAACAAATAGTCACCCAGAAAGTAGAAAAATGTGGCACCTGGCAACTCATGAGGCCAGGTATGGGGTAAAATTTCATCATCACTGCCACTGTTTTCAGAGAATTCAAGTATAATAAAATGAGCAAAATGGCTTAGTAAGTAGAGTGGGATCTGTGCTAAACACTATGAAGCTTAGTAGGGGTGTCTAATTCTGTTCTGGCTGGGGCTGGGACCAAGGGTGGCTTAGGAGTACAGCAGTTAGGGACACTGACAAAGTGAGGAATGTAGCCACTGCAATGTGGATAACTGTAAATGCAGAAGAAACAGCTAGCAAGGCCCCAAGTAACTGCCTCTGCACTAAGAGATTAAGTGGGGAAGAGTCACAATATCTTACTATAAGCACCATTCAGCTTTTAAATTATATATATGTGTATATATAATGTATATATCTGTATATATTTCCATAATGAAATAGAACCCAATTTCAAAAATAATGTAGATGAACAATTTCTGGCCCTGACAAAAATGGCATTTCTCCCTGCTATTCCCAAGTACAACCACAAACACTGGAACAAACTAAGAACCAGTAAGGGGAAAGCAGCCTAGTGGGAGACCCAGACTAGAGAACAGTAAGTAGCATGATTTCTCAAATGTTCTCCCCCAACAGCAGAAAGTCCCACAAGGCCAATGTTCACTAATCCCCAACGAAGCAAGAGAAGGAAGCTAGAAAGGCCCATTCCTCATGCCCAGCAGGAACAGGGCACCACTGCAACATCAAGAGAGCACAGCACCCAGTAAGAGGGACTAACAAGCAGCCAGGGAGTCCAATAAACCTGTTTATCCATGGCCTGAGCCTCCCTACCATGCCCAAGGCATCAGAGCAGCCAGGTTACAACAGTAAGAGGGACACTGCCACAGAAAGCCTCTTTACCATGGTGTTGTTAAGATTCTTCTTCTTCCACCCAGAGACACCATGGGAGCCAGAGGCACATGCAGAGGGGTCACAGCCATGACACCAGTGCCTAGCCCAGAAATTCTCTAGATCCCATAGGCCTGACACTTTGAACTCTTACCCAAAAAAATCCCTTTCCCCTCATGCAGCACCTTGCAGACACCGGTAAGAGCCCCAGTGTCACCACCTAAACAAAGCAGACCAACAACCACAAGCACACTGTCACTGGAAATATCAAATATATACTGGGATCTTTATGCTAAATCTAAAAAAGGGTAGCTGCATGCTAAAATGCAAGACATAAATAGGATCCAGATTCTCCTAACATAGATACAAAATGCTCCTAATATAGATACAAAATGCTCAGGATATGATCAAAAAGAAACCAAAAAAAAAAAAAAAAAATCCATCATACCAAAACCCAGAACATTCACAATAACTAGAAAGGATAATTAGCTGACACACTGATAGCTCATATACAAAAATTATGTGATGAGCATTTTAAAGCAGGAGGCCAAAAAAATGCTTGTCAATTACAAATTCCCCTGAAACAAACAAAAATTATAAAACAAAAAAATACAGTAAGATACCCAAGTGGTGGTGGCTCATGCCTATAATCCTAGCTACTTGGGAGGCTCAGATCAGTAGGACTGAAGTTGGAGGCCAGACTGGGCAAACAGTTCCCAAGACGCCATCTCCAAAAAATAACCAGAGCAAAATGGACTGGAGATATGGCTCAAGCTGCAGAGCATCTGTTTTGAAAGCAGAAGCCCTGAGGCGGAAGAGGAGGAGGAGGAGGAGGAGGAGAAAAATACAGCCTGATAAAGCAGCCAGAGAGAAATGATACACTATCCATTGAAGAATATGATTTGAGTGACAGCAAATCATGAGTGAACCATGAGTGAACTGTGGAGTGAAACATGTAGGCAAAAAGAAGTGCTAAAAATTGTCAACCAGGAATTCTGTATGAATGAAACATCCCATCAGGAAAAATAAAGACATACTTAGATAATAGAAGTTTAAAGACTGTTTACAGGAAGCACATTAAAAAGAAGAGAAACAATAAAGATCACGGAATGTCAAAAAGGAAAAGCAATACAAAGAGAAATATGGGTACATGCAACATACTATCATTATCATATGTGGTGAGTGAAACACAAACTATAATACCATCTGAACCTCGAGACACAGTATTTAAGGTGGGCGTACTAAATGGAAGAAGAGTTTCCACACTTCACTGAAAGTGGTACAATACTGATACCATGTTAATGAATCAGAGATGCATACTGTGATATCCAAACACTTGAAAATTAAACACTGGCACTCAAAACACTGTAAAAATACCAAAAATGCATTTAAAGTAACCCAAAAGAAAACAAGAAAAGAGAAACATGAGAATGAAATTCAGAAGAAACAGAAACCAGATACAAAATGTCACAAATTCTCATGTATCAATATTTACCTTAAATAGTCTGGATATACCAATCAAAAGACAGAGATTAGTAGAGTAGATAAAGATCACAACTGAACAAACTTAATTTCAAATTCAGCATAAACTGAAGCTAACACTCTATCCAAAAAAACAACATAGGGGGGAGAGGGAGGGGGCGGAGTGGGTGGTAAGGGAGGGGGTGGGGCAGGGGGGAGAAATGACCCAAGCCTTGTACGCACATATGAATAATAAAAAATAAAATAAAATAAAATAAAATAAATGGTTACTCTGATACCTAATGCAGATTTCAGAGCAAAGAAAACGATGGCGACAAAGAGGAATGTACCTCACATGAAGAGGAACGACCCACTGAGAAGACATAGGATATCGAATTCGACTGCACCGAACTACAGAGTTCAAAATACATACAACAAAAAAAAACTGACAGGCTCAAAACAGGACAAAACCCCATTTTCAAATAGGTGGCATGCTTCCAAACACTCATCTCCTAAAATTAACCACTTAGAGAATTAGGAATGCAATTACTGTTGTAGGTAACATCAAGCAGGAAAAGAGAAATGGTTCTGGAGAACCTACTTCCAAGCAAGGACTCTGAAATAGGGCACCGTCCATAAATCCTCATCTAACCCTATCCATCATTTTGCAGAGGAGGAAATTAGGGCTTCGGGTTAAAGAACGTGTTACCTAAGACCAAACAGCTAGTGGACCAGGACCCACTTCGGTTAAATGACATATAATTTGAACTCTTGAGCTGTTAGTCTCTCAATCAGTCAAAACCAAGTACCATCAGACTCTGAAGCAACTGGACATTGAGTGAAATCTGTATTTCTTTCCTCAGGGTCTTAAGAGTTGTTTCTTCAATCCCTCTGTAATAAAATATGTTTGCTAAACCTAAGAGTCAATACCTCCTTTTTTAAGTTTGTTTCAATACAACACAGGATTATTTTCTCTGGGTGACAAATAAGTATGAGCTTCGTCCGAAGTGGTGTCCTAGGGTGTGAGACTTCCACGAAAGGTCTGCACGTTTGAATTCCACCCCTAAACCAACCGTGGCCCTATTAAACAATTTAATCTCCCGAATCGCCACTGCGCACTCGCGCGCAATACGCCCCGCCAACCTCTCGCCCGCGGACACCAGGGACCCTCTCGCCCGCGGACACCAGGGACCCTCTCGCCCGCGGACACCAGGGACCCTCCGCACGGCGGACGTGGTAGCATTTTCATTAAAAGGCGCAAGCGTGGCCGGCCGAGTTTCGGGCCGCCGCGAGCTGTCTGCGAGCGAGCGAGCGAGCGCGGGTGTCCCGGCCGCACTGGAGCTGGAGCGGGGCACTGCCCGGGTCCGACGGCCACCCCTCCTCGCTCCGGTGACCCCGGCCCCTCGCGGCGCCGGCCCCGCCCGTCCTGCGGGCCGCGCGGGCGGACGCCAGGGCAGGCGGAGGAGGGTCGGGGCGCCGCCCAACGTTACCTGCCGCGCCGGTCGGCCGCCGGCCCTGGCCCCGCGGCGCTGTAGTAGGCCGCGCGTTTGTGGCTGGCCGCGGCCGCTGCCGCCGCGCTGCGCACCGGGTACAGAGGGATCTGGTCCGCCATGCTCCGGCAGCCCCTCCCCGCTCGCCTCAACTCGGCGTCTCCTCCCTTCTCTCCTCTCCGCTCAAGCCGGGACTTAGGCACCGCCCGCGCGCCGGCCCACCCGCCCGGCGTCGCCGCCTGATGGCGTCACTGGGCGGCGAAGGCACGATGGGAGGTGTGGCCACGCGAAGCGCGTGCCCCGCCCCTAGTCGGCACCCGATGACGTAAGAGAGGTTCGAAAGTGCGGCGCGAGGACATTCCCGGCCCCACCACTGCCCGGGGAGGAAGCTAATGACATCATCCAGCTTCCAAGCCTCAGCCCGGGAGGCGTGGAGCCCCTCGGGTGCCGCCCCTGCCTGGACGTGCATGCTGGACAGCAGCCAGACTCAGCTGCACGCGAGCGCACTGTTCCCTGTGGGGGTCGCCGCGCTGGTCTGGGATATCCGACTGCGTCGAAAAGCTGCGAGCAGGGGTAGGGGTGCCTGCCGCCCCTCCGGTGGCCCGCTTGGCCAGGTCCCGTAGCCCCGACCTGCCTCGGGTCCCCCCCAGTTTCAGGGCCACAGCGTGTCGGGGCGAGGCGTGGGTACCACCTACACGACCTTCATGGGGTGAGTGCCGAGCTGCCCGACTGGGGTTGGGGGGGTGCTTTGGCCCTCCAGCACGTGCCTGGGCATCAAGTGAACTTCCTTTCTCCAACGCCATTGGCCCACCCAGCACTTTGGTTAATTCCTCTCTTTTATTCAGTTTTCCCCCTATGCTATCCCATTCTTTGAATTCCTAATGTCTTTCATCCCATTTCATTCATTCCTGGCTCAGTCTTCTTTTCTACATATTAATGTGTAGAGATTTCTCCTGCACTTACATTTTTTTGCTAGATTATATGCCCTTAAATTGCATCCAAAGAATAATCCGTTAAGTCTTCAAGTTCTGGCCTTTGCTATTTTGTTCTGAATTGTCTTCATTTTTTAAATTTGAGATTTACTTCCTGGTCAGGTATGAAGTCTGCTTCTCAAGCTAAGAATATTAACCAAATGGGTTTTTGGAGATTTTTTTGGTGATACTGGGGTTTGAACTCAGGCCTTGGTACTTGCTAGGCAAGCACTCTACTCCTTGAGCTATGCTGCTAGTCCTTTTTGCTCTGGTTATTTTGGAGATAAGGTCTCTCTTTTTGCCTGGACAGTGACCCTTCTACTTTACACTTCCTGAGGAGCTGGGGTGACAGGCACACACTACCACACCCAGCCATTGATTGAGATGAGGTTTAATGAACTTCTTGCCAGCTGGCTTCTAACAGTGATCCTCGAAATCCAAGCCTCCCAAGTAGCTAGGATTACAGGCGTGAGCCACCAGCACACAGCAGGCCAATAGGATTTATATTTCAAGATCAAGAATGCTAAGGCTACAGTGGGCTTCATGAACTCTACCCCTATCCCCAGTAAGCAGTGGTCTTTGTAGTGTTCCAAGGGAGCTTGAAGAAGCTCCCTTGCCATGGCAGTCACTCCTCACAGGACACTGCTATGGTTCTCTAGAGCAACAGAACCAGTAGCTCTACAGAGAGACGGATATATACAGATATAAGGTATTGACTTATTTGATGGTAGCTGACAAGTCCCAGGATCTGCCAGCTGGAGACCCATGAAAGCCAGTGGTATAATTCAAAGATCAGAGAGTTGATGGTCCAGATTCCTATCTGATTCTGCAGGCCTAGAACCAGGAACTCCCAGAGCAGGAGGGATAAAGGTCCAATTAGGGCAGGCAGAGTTAATTCATCCTCATGTCATCAATGGGTTGATCTCCACCAACTCCAGTGCTAATCTCTTCCAAAAGCACCCTCCCAGAAAAACATGAAAAATAAAACTTACTAGTTCTCTGGGTGTGTTAGGCTTTTTGCTGCTAAGATAAAATATCTTTTATCTTAGTTAAATAAAATACCTTCTATCTGAAGTTGCGCAACTTCAGGGAGGAAAGATTAATTTTTATTCACTATTTCAGAGGTTTCCGTCCATTGTGGCAGGGAGAGCATGGTGGAATGGAGCAGCTTACTGTCATGGTAAACAGTGGAGTTGCTCATCTCATAGAGGAGAGAGAATGACTGCACTTGCAAAGCTTCTCCTTTTTCCTCTTTTATTCCACCAGACCCCAGCCTATGTGATAGTGCTGCCCACACTCAGGGAAGGTCATCTCCCCTCAGTTAAACCTCTCTGGAAACCTCCTCACAGACACACCAAGAGGTGTGCTTTACCAATCTCTTAGGCACTCTCAATCCAATCAAGTTAGCAATCAAAATTAACCAGCACACTGAGTATCCCATGGCCTAGTGAAATTTGCACATAATGTCAATCCTCAGACACTTACTGTAACTCTCTCCCCAAGAAACCTTCATTTGTTCCAGAAAACAGCCAACCAAAGAGCACCTGACATACCTAGCTCTGAATAACCCTTCTTTTGAAACACCCCCAAAATGCTCGTTTGCCCCCTCCAACCAAGGACTATCAAGTATTCCTGAAGCCAGATGTGTTAGAAGGTCTCCCATACTTCCCAAACTCCAGTCTTCAGTGGAATGCTGCCCATCAGAGACTGTCTCAGTATATCCACTTTTTACTCTATAAAGCTTACTTTCTATCACCTTTCAACTCTTGGTGAAATGAGAGTGACAGCATATGGGTTCCGTTGCTCCAAGATTATACCAGGGTTTGGACTCCATACCTCAAGTTTGCTAAGCAGGCACACTATCCCTTGAGTCATGCCCCTTGCCCTTTCATCACTTCACTTTTAACCATCTATTTTATTTCACTTCTCTCTGCTTTGCCTCATCATTTCATTCATTTGGAGTATGAAAGATTTCAGTTACTGATTTTAACTTTCTTAGCTGTAGATTTCTTCAAATCTCTTGGTACTTAGGTTTGTAGGGACATTTTAATTAGGAGACAGAGAAGTTCTCTGTTCTCTTTTCCTTCTGTATTAGTCAGCTTCTCATTGCTGTGACAAATATCTGAGAAAACATCAACTTTAAGGAGACAAAGTTTATTTTGGCAAGATTTATTTCTTTATTTATTTTGGAAAGAGGTTTCAGTCTATGGTCAGCTGGCTCCATTGCTGTGGGCCTGAGACAAGGCTGAACATCATGACGGAGGGCACGGGGTGGAGCAAAGCTGCTCACCTTATGAAGGTCAGGGAAGCAGAGAGACTGAAAAGGACAAGGAACAACATACTCCCCCAAGGACACGCCCCCAGTGACCTATTTCCTCCAGCTAGGCTAAAGTTTCTAGCACCTCCAAAAATAGCGGCAGCTGGGGACCAAGCCTTTAACATGTGACCTTGTGGGGGGGTCTTTTAGATTCAAACCGTATCATTCCACCCATCCCTCAAAGGCTCACACCCATTGCATAATACAAACTGCATTTAATACATCTACAAGAGTCTCCAAAACCTCAATCATCCAGCATTTGTCAAAAGTTCAATTCCAAAATCTCTTCTGAGATTCTTAGCTGAGAGTCCCTGTAAAACTTAAAAATCAAGTCACATGCTTTCAATATGTCATGGCCTCGAGACCCATTTCATTTCCAAAAGGGAAAAGTGAGGGCATAGAAAGAAAGAATGGGACCAAAGTAAGAGCAAAACCCATCAATCTGAACACTAAATCCCATAGCTCCACATCCAGCATTTGGGACACGTAGTGGCAGCAGTGGAAGTCCAAATGGCTTGAGCAGCCCTGCCTTGTTGCTTGAAGCCCATGAGACCTCTCTTGGGCTGACTCTGCTCATTGCCTGCAGCTTCCCTTGGCAGAACTTCCATGTTCAAAGCATCTCTTACCTTCTAGGACTGCATTGCATCTTTGGCTTTACCCACTAGCTCAGGATTCACCTTCACAGTTTCATTCATTGTCCTCTCAGGTGCTGCTTGGAGGGACTCAGACCTGCCACACATTGCCTGGCCTCGCAGGTCTTCCTCTGATATCTGTGAGGAAGCCTCCATGATCGCATACTTTTTGCATTCCATGTGCCTGAAAAACCAGCATCACGTGGTCAGTGCCAAGGTCTGTCATGAGCTTGAGCCCTTTTAGGCCATGGCTATAGTGACCTCTGAGTGCCTAGATGACTTAACCTGGGAAAACATTTTCCTATTCATCCTTGTGTACTCAGGATACCCCAAGTGCTCTTCTCAAAACAAAGTCTTTAAAAGAAGTTAAAACCTTTACACCCTTGAGTCTGTGATGGGTGGGGTCTGGCCATTCCTGAGATGCCCTTAGGCCTCTTTGCTATTGTCCTGCTGCAAACATTTTAGTGGGGCTTCATCTTTTTATCAGTAACACCTTCCTTGGCCCAAATTTATGTGGACTTTTTGGCCAAAGTAAAGTTTTTTTAAATCTTTCTGTGCATTTTGCTCCTGATTCTCACTGTAAACCTAGCAAAATGCACCTAGCAGAAGCATACTCTGGGCTGACTGAACTGAAGGCTGGGCTACCTTGAGAGTTCATCCATGAGAGTAATTAGTGCATCACCTTTAAACTTAGCCACCCACAAAGTCTTAGGACTTGGACAAAATGTAGGCAAGTGCTTTGCTACAATGTAGCTAACACAAATGACCTCTAATCCTTGTTTCCAGCTGAAAACTCCTCAGCACAATCTTTTCTGCCTGCATTTCTGTAGGCATTCTGGTCTTCTGAGCTCCCACCAGAATCACCCATTAAAGTCCCACTCAGGACATTCTAAGCTTTTTCTAGCTTTCTTCTCCAATGTTTTTCCAAATTCTACCCACAAACCAGTCCCAAGGGCCTAGGAACCACTTCTTGGCACCAATTTTCTGTGTTAGTCAACTTTTCATCACTGTGACAAATGCCTGAGAACACATCAACTTAAAGGCTCATGGTTTCAGAGGTTTCTGTCCATGGTCAGCTGGTTTCATGGCTGTGGGCTGAGGCAGAGTTGAACATCACAAGAGGTTGCTCGTGATAGAGCAAAGCTTATCATCTCATGGTGGACAGGAAGCAGAGAGGCAGACAAGAAGCAGCCAGAAGATTCCCCCAAGGACATGCCCACAGTGACTTTACTCCCTCCAAGCTAAGCAGACCTCCTAAAGTTTCCAAAACCTCCCAAAATATCACCACCA